TATATCTTTATGATGTGTTTTAAAAACAGGATTTGTTGGGTTATGCATTGAAGTAAAAACCATTTGGCTGTAACTGATAGGAAGTTGTAGGTATAAAAATAAATAATAGATGTTTGTACAGTTGTACACACACTCATATATATATAGTGCACAAAGGTGCAAACCTGTGCATGCACATTTTAAGATGACAGTGAAATTAGGCTAATTCCTATAACAGAAAATTTAAAATCAGAGTTTAAATGACCGGATATGGCACAGCTTATTTGCTGTCATCAGAGCTTCAGCATCTCAGGTATGATCGTGGAGAGAGAGATACCGATCTAAATGTAGACGTCCTGAATTTACTATAGCACAGACCATATTAAATTGTGATTTGAGTGAAACACATATTCTTTATTGAAATTTACTACTCACTTCATAAAACCTCTTAAGTGCATGGTGTTCTGAGCTGTTTATTGATATTAGTGCAAAGTTTTGAAAGTTATAAGACAATAAAGCATTACTGTCATTGGAAGTCCTTTTTCTTATTTGCTTTTTGAACTTTGCGTGTTATTTCAACTTTGGCTGTTTCTTTGCTTGTTTTTAAGAAGGCATTTTATGATGTCATGCAAGAGACACTAGAAAGGGATAGCTGACAAGGAAAAAATTAAAAATTGGATAAAAAGTAAATGAATAATGTCATATTACCAAAAAGATGAGAGGCTAATTTGTGCCGACTTTTTGCTAATTTTGTTCAAGCCTCAAAATGAGGAGCTGTCACCCGTTCTGTGTAGCACTGATGACAGTGCCAATGATCCATGAAATAAGCTGCCGCTGGCTTTGTTCTGATAAGAATGAACAAATCTGCACAATGTTCGGCTCCCAGAATCTCATTTTCATACTTGCATGCAGGCTAAAAGAAATAAGCTGTTTGCAGGCTTGATTAATCAGACATTGGAGGGGTTTTTGTCTCTTTGATCTCTTTCGTCTCCTAGGTAACTTGCTTGACATTAATGTTGAGCTTGAGTAAAGACAATCAGGAATTGTCGACCAAACTGATATAAAAATTAAAGACCTTAACACTTTAAGTACTCCCGTAATGGTTCCGCTTTACTTCAGAAAACATCTGTTTTCATTTAATTAAAGAACAAAAGAGAATAGCATAAATATTTTTCATAGAGACCTATTATCCCATACAAAGTTAAAGTATGATAATTGGTATTTTTAAATAAGTGCCTTGAAAGTGTTCAAAAGGGAGGAAAACTTCATAAATCTGCTGCAAGCTAGTAATTTTGAGATGAGTAAAATATTTTATGAAATGGATCAGAAGTTTACAGTTATGGTAGATTAAGCTGTTTGAATCAGATGCTTCAAATGATTATCAGCAAACTTGAGAATGGCAAGGTTTAGCAAGAAAAACTAACTTTATTTTGAAAGTTTGTCTTTTAAAAATCTCTACTATGTTACAAGATGTGCCATTATATCTATTTTACAACCCAATATGATTTACACATGCTAAACCTGTAAAATTGAAAGGAATTAAAAAAATGTCGCCGTGCATTTGCTTGAGGTTATGCAGACGCTTTTACAAATCTTCCAAGTGGCTGTAAAGATGAATGCCTCAAGGGTCCAGCCAGGGCCCAGCTTTTCCAACCAGCTAAAGCCCTTATCTTAAATCCAAGCAAAGTACCATTAATCTTTTTGAAAGACCTTTTATGGCTTTTAATATATCCCAAATTAGAACATTTTACACCCTTGGTTCCTGAAATATGGTGATAAAAAGCCTTTAGAGCTTAATTTTCCTTACTGCTTGCTCTGACCAATTTGCAGTTCTTTGTGATAATGTTTAGACACCTTAATTAAAATGCAGCAAAATATTGGATGTTCTATATGGAAAATGCTGATACTTTGGCTACACATACAAGAAATTCTGTATATATTTTTATTCATTTAAAAAAATTTCTTCCCACATTGTGTTGCTATAGTTATCTGATGACCCGAAACAGTTTTTTAATATGAAAACCATTGACTAAGCTTTTTGTGATGTTTACATTGGGCATGAAGAGGCATTTTTCTTTTTACAGAAGCAAAAGGGGGATTCTTGTCGGCCTATATTATTTGTTTGTAATACTGAGACATTGCACGATATTCTTTTATCTTCTGAAACTCGGGTTAGTCATCTTGCCTGGGAAAATGCGTTTCTTCTCAACTGTCTCTTCCATAGGAGATCTTATTATCCTTTCATATTTCCAAATATTTCCATTCGTTTTTCTTTCTTTACAGAAATAAATGAAACACGTTCATTTTAAGCGTGTGAAGGACACAAAATTGATATGAGTTTTCATCATCATTCCAAGCTAAAAGATTCATTCTGTAAAATACGTGGACCAGGCTTGTTTAATGTTTATCAGCTGAAGAACATTCCACTTAACCTAACCCAAGGCAAAACACTGTTAGGAGATGTACCTTTTATACAAATGGGTCTGTGAAAGTGTTGCCTATCGTTTATTATATTTATGTAGTCCACAAAATGATGGAGTCCTCTCCTGTAAATACGTTTCGTATTTGAAGAATTTTTAACAAGTTTATACTATGTCTCATGGACCGTGTGCTCCAAATCTTTACTGTGATGCTGATTGTGCTGGATTTGACCTTAACATTGCTAGAAAACTAAAAGCTTCACGTTCTCAGAGTACGTGACCATGTTGAGATGAAGAGTCGAATTTAAATTAAATGCCCGTGTGTCCAGACACACTGAGGTGCTTTTTGGTTTGTCTATCCCAAATCCAGAAAATCCGTACTGGGAAATTTCAACAAGCTAAAAATGTAAGCAACATCTTAATTTACAACAGTTATAGAAAATAATTTTATCACGTGGTTAATGGTATATATAATTACCATTAACCAAATATGGTACGAGTCATTTTTGTTTCCTACTCAAAGTATAGGCTCAATTTAAATATAAGATACACGAGCTGAGTGGGACTTCTCTAGGGGGTGGACTTGGCAGAACCAGATCATATTTCAAATTTGTATTTGCATTTCATATATAATACATAGGAATATAGTTAAATAGAAAAACACAGAGTTCTGTGTTTTACCTTTTGGAGGTGGGGGACAGGGAGGAGACTAAATATTTTACATGGATGTGGGGAGACCTAGCATGCATCTTAAACACAGGTGGCAAGCTGCGTTTTATGACAGTAGACAGTTCGTGAGGTGGATTGACTGCTCCCCTTGTAGCCCACTGGACCCCGTATTCCCAGCCGCCTCGCGTTGAGGTGGAACTGTGTGAGTAATTCTGACCAGAGGTCTGTGAGCAGGAATGACGTGTGTCGCTTCTGGACTAAAGCATTTAAGAGCCAGTGTGAGACCCTCCAGCTCTCTCTTCCTCTGCCATAGCGAGCGTGAAAGCCACATGTTGAGATGCTGGCGCCCCAAGATGCAGGAGAGCCCTGCCAATCCACAGCTGACTTTAAGTAAAGAAATGAAAGTTTGGCCAGTGAGATCTGGGGATTTGTTGATACTGCAGTTTGACTAGCCTAACCTGACAGATGCTAACTTGATTTTTACATTTATGACAAATGGATAGTTTTTCAGTGGGTAGGAAATCCGTCTTAATGATGAATTATGCCACCACCCCTCCAGAGTTTCATTTTCTCCTTAGAGGATGATGCGGTAGCCCTTTGATTCTCTTAGCCTTTTCTCTGATAAAGAACTGGAAATGAAAAGAGAACCGAGAGAGCAAGACCAGTATGGAAGCAGTCCCATGTAATCAGCCCGGCTTCTCCCTACCCCCCCAGTGTGAAAATAAGCCTGTTTTGTTCAGTGCTGTATCTCTAGTGCCTGGCAAAATAATGTACCTGTGCCCTCATAATATTTGTTGAATGAATGTTGTCCTTGTGCAAAAAGGTGATGATGACAGTAGTGCTGGTAATACTGGTTTGAGTTTTGAGAAGACTGAGGTTGCTCTGCTTTTTCAAGGTGACTCTCCAGTCACGACTGTTCTTCCTTTCTTCTGTGGCTTTCCTGTTGGGGTGGACTAACTCAGCACCTTCGTTTAATTGTCAGGTTGCTTCCATTATTTGTAGATAAAGTTCCTGGACTGAAAAATCACACCTTCTTTTGCTCTCATTTATAAACCCCATTCAGTGCCTCATTGTGTATTTCATCCCAAAGGAAACTGTTCTCCAAGGTAAACTGAAAGGAATGTCAGGCATGCCAAGCCTCCGTCCCTAAATCTGCCTCCCTCCTTACACATGAGCTCCTAGCCGCCCATTGTGCCTCCCTGTTGACAAGCAGATCCCTAAAACCTGGGCTTTAATACGTTGACTAGAGCATGGCTTCCAGGTCTTTTCTTCTCTTCCACACATCTGCTCTCCACTAATATGTATTATGTTGAGTACAGGGGGAGAAAAGTTAAGAAACACCAGAAAGTGATTTTTACCCTAAGTTAAAAACTTGGGTTCTTAAGAGATACTTTTGAGCCATCCATATAGGTGGGCATTTTTAACATCAGAGCCCACAAAAAGGAGATCACCATACCTGTCTAGGAGACACTCGCTGAGGAACAGCAGTGCAGCAAGAGAGCTGGGTGGAGCAGAGCATGGTAACTATAGCTTGTGGCAGAGAAGCTGAAGGACTGGAGAAATACGGAAACAAAGGCTGTTAGAGGTGTTAGGGGAGTTAGAGAAGACTTGGTGGGGGTGAGGAAGGAAGCCTTGTTTTGATTGGACCTTATGGCACTCGGGCAGATGGCTGTAAGGAGGGGTGTGAGCAGAGGGGCCAGTAGAGGGAAGCATAGGTACCGTGGTCCTCGCGCCCAGCCTCTTCACCTCTTAGCACCCCTTAGATTCTTTTTTCTGTCAGTGAATTAAAGCTGTTGCCCATGATTCAAAGTGTGTTTATGAAGTAGTAATTAGCTTGCCCATGTTTTATTAATCACATCTATGACTGCCAATCAGAGCTTCTGATCAGCAGGAGATAGCTGGTGTGACCATACTGAGTTGCTGTAATTCTAGCCCAGAGCAAAGAAACTTGCTGTCTCTGTCAGTCTGCGCAGCCTTATCAGGGGTCAGTTCCCGCTCGGCCTACTGAATGCTGAAATGGCTTCAAGATCCTCATCACTACCCTGTGGACCCTCGAGGGGCCTCAGTTTGGGAAGGATTTCCATCCAGGAGGTTGGTACTAGGAAGAGGGGCTGTGGGAAGGAAGGGAAATGTGGGCCACATCTCTGCATTCGTTAGACTTTGGTTGTTCCAGGGGACCTGAGCAGAAGAATGTCTAATTTGTAGACATGGCTTTCTTACCCACGTGTTCTCAAGTATTATATTACTGTAATTCTTGTGTTCGCTGGAATATTTATTTTCCTTTTTTTTCTTTTTCTCTTTTGTAATTCTTAGCTTGGTGTAAAAATTGCCAAAGCAGTTGCCTGCCACAACTTTGTAAAAGCCAAAAAGGATGCTGAAAATTCACAGGTTGCTCGAAAAAAGAAGAAACTTGCATGGGGGTAAGTTTAAGATTTTTAGTAGTAATTCTACTAACTTTTCACAGAAATCCTGTGATACATTTTGTGGATCCAGGTTTGTGTAATTGTTACTCATTTTGTTCTTTATATCTTTGCTGAATGTTTATCAGATTGTAAATATGGAGCATTTCTTCATCCTATTTGATGTTTATTTCATAATCAATGGAGTATGTGAAAAATTTTTAAGTTTATTTTACTTTGGCACTTAGTAAACATGTTACTTTAGTAAAGTATTTAGAAATAAATTGAGATTTTTGTGTTCTTCATTTTAGGTTTGAAGCAAAGAAGAGATGGGAAACCAAAAGCAACATGGGATATATGTAACTTGCCAGAGTTCTTCAAGACGTTTGAGTCTTTGAGTTTTCCCTTGAGTCTTCAATTGCTCAATTTACTGAAAAGATTTTCCTGTTTATGTTCACTGTGTCAGGAAATTGATAGACGTAGAAAAAATAAGCATAAAATTTGCGAGTTGATTATCACATCTTTTCAGTCTCTTTCTTAAGAGCTCATCCTATTGAAGTAAATGAAGTGCAGCATTCTGTTATTAGTGCGAGAAATCTAAGCATACATGGAAAAAAGGATGGGATTTTATTTATTTATATAGACCTTCGGTATAAGATCAATTTTACTTTTATCCATTTGGTGTAGCATAGCCAGTGAGCTCCTTGTACTTTCTTATCTGTGCTCAGTGTAACTGCACTTATTCTGGAATTGTGTTGTTTTTTTTTAAAGATTGGCACCCGAGCTAACATCTGTTGCCAATCTTTTCTTGTCTGTTTTTTTTCCTCCTTCTCCCCAAAGCCCCCCAGTACATAGTTATATATTCTAGTTGTGAGTGCCTCTGGTTGTTGGAATTGTGCTTTTAAGATTGGCATTTGTTTATAATGGATTAATCATAAGTGCAAGAAAGTCCCAATTGACATTGTCCTTACAAATGACTTTATCTTAACGTTATGGAAGTAATTATTGGTTCTTTATTGGAGGCAGTAGAGTTAATGTTTCACAGTCATATAATAAAAACAATTGATTAATTTTTGTGTACCTGCAGATAAAATATTACAATAAAAAAGGACAGAATGTAGTATTTGGAGGATGATTTAAATTCAACTCTGCCTGGAAATATGTTTTTAACTCTCTCTCTCAGCTGTATCATTCTTTAAATTATGAGATGGCTCTTAGAAGAAGACATGGTATGGTTGTATTAGCTGGTTGTAACTCCAGACAATATAACTTTGAACTTTCTGAGAACATGGTTTGTTTGTTTTTACTCCTCTTCTCCATTACTTCTTAAAAGATGGAATGAATTACTGAGGATAAAGAGCATTGGTGCCATGGGAAGTAGTTTTCATTATATGTGTGTTTCATAGACCTTACTAGAAGGGGCTCTGAGAAATCATATAAGAAGCTGGTAAGACCACAGCTAGATGATCTGACTTTTTTGGTAGGCCGTTGGCATTTTGGTGCCTCCCTACTTGATGCTCAATGGAGGTCAGAACTGCTTATCGTGATTTTCATCAGTTCGCTCCCTTCCTCCGCCTTCAGCGGAGGTTTTCTAGCTGTCTGATAGAACCTTTTTCTGGGTTGATAATATTAATTCAGGGACATAGGAAATTGGGCATGATTATAATTCTTATTATTTTTAGACTTAGTAACAAAATTTTACTAATTTATGGTGGCATATTTATTGTTTGTTCTGGAATAATTGAGTAACTAGTTGCTATTTGAGATCAAAAATCATATCTTGCTTCCACTTAGATGAGAAAAGCCAGTATAGAGAAAGCAAGATTTTAGGAGATAGTGTGTGTACTTGTAGAATTCATCATGAAAAGGTTTCCAGACCAAATATTGGAATATCTTATATTTTTTGATTTAATATCCCCTATTGGGTTTTGCAGATAAAATCATATACTGCTTACCTATAGCATCTCATTTCGGATTCCTAATAGCTGAATACAGACTTATAGGAACCTTTCCTCTAAAAAGTCCATCGTCAGGGAGTATCCACTACACAGTTTGGTGGTTTTGTCTGAAGCATTACAAATGTTATCTTTGAACAGGCAGGTAGTATAGACATTCTTGCCCATCGGTCCCCAAGACAGGCCTTTCCCTGCAGCCTCTGCCTCATTGTTCTTTGCCCATGTGCCCTTAGAGCATTTAGGGACCCCTGCAGGCACATTTCACCACTCTGCTCATGCTGAGGGCTGCCGCAGCAGCCTCTTAGAGTCTGATTCGGGAGCCTCTGACCCGAAGTCCAGCTGTTAGAGCCCTTTTTCAGCCTGTGCCAGTGCCAGCAACTGCCCGCTCAGGGGTCTCATGTAGATGAGAGTGTCCTGACTGAGTAGAAGGCATTATGGTGGGACCACACCTAGCGGGGGACTCATTTGGTAAGGGAAGCCACATCTCATCAGTCTCCAGTGTTTGGGGGCCTGGGTTTTGAGAAGCTCCAAAACATTATGGTACAACAGAAGAAGGGGTGGGAGGGAAGGATGTGGGGGAGAGGCAGGGTCTGGTGGTCTTGGGTTAGCCCTGCTGGCATGTCATTTGGGACCGGTTTTATTTTATCAACTTCAGTTTGAGTTAGACATTTTACTCATTAAAGCAATAAAATGGGAACATTATTCCTAGAATACCTGTGTTGCCCGAAAAGTATAGTCATTTGTCCTTTCCATCTGGTCACAGCAAAATAAAGATTTTTTTTCCATCAGTAATAACTTTAGTTCCTAAAGCTTTAACATGTGCATTTACTACCACCAGAATGCCTGAATTAAATTAATGTAAATGTCAGTTATTGTTAACTGAGATTAATATGTTTCAGGCCATTGGTATGGCATTAATGTAACTATGATTTACTGTTTAAGTACTTCAGGCTACAACAGCTTACTAGAGAACAGTAATTTTGAGCTTTATAGCCCTGGTTCTGAGACGTACAGTTGGTGGTACATTCTTGTTTGGGAGCCCTCGGGATGTTTCTGATTTTCAGCAGAACATTCTATTTTTTTCACCAAAAGGAGAGTTAGAATATATAATCTCAGGTTTGTTATAATTAGTTCTGATGACAGTTAAATACCTTGACCAAAACTGTAAATCAGTAGTTAAACAGGTTTCTGCAACTGATCATAAATCTCAAACTCCATATTTTAAATGCACATTTTTTTGAGAGACAGCCCAGGGAGGGGCGGGCCAGGGACAGGACTAAAATGTTATCTGAACTTTGAGTAATAACTTAGAATCTCAAGTTAAAATATACTGATTTCCCTAATGCCTTTTGTCTAAAATGTTATCTTTTAAATATTTATAATAACTAGCTTATTCTTTACTCTGATAAGCTTGAATTTAGTTCTTAAAATATGAAAGTTAATTTTCAAAATGTCCAAGTTTTCATTTGTTATGTGAAGATATCACCTTTTGGAAATGGGTGTGCTGCTAAACTATAAAAAATATTGTATGGGCTTGATATTTAAATAAGTTGCCAATTGTGTGTGTTTTTTTAAGAGATAAGGTTTGGGAAAACAAGGTAATGTTATGTCAGACCTCATTTTGGAAAATTAACTTAGTGAAACCTACTAGTCAAATTCAGAGCCAACTGTAGCAATTCAAGTTTTTCCATGTTGGCAGAAGTTGCTTTTATTTTTAGTATCTGGCAGAGCAACAAATGCTTTGCATGTCAGTTTAATATTTTGTCAAGCCAACTGTTTATTCATTGGCTTAAAATTTACACTCTACTAAAGTCTTAGCCCGGACTTTCATGAAACAAATAGTAATATTTGGACAAAATACACAAAAATCTTTTTCCAAAACCAAATGTAGATTGGTATTTGTGGCATCAGTGACTTTTAACATGGTAACAGATCTGAGAGTACTTTGAAAAGTCTAAGGCATTATAAACACATGGCAATACATTTCAAAGAATTAAATTTTTTTATGAAGTAATAAGAACATCTTTCTAGGTTTTCAGATTTAAATTAGAGACTTTTTGCTGGAAAGTGGAATATATGTTAGAGTAAATTTCAGTGAACTATGAAAAGATTATTTTATCAATATATATCTATTTTTGACTTCTGTTGCATACTAAGACAATAAGACCCATTTTCCATTTTTGAGGTTGGGACGCTCTATAGATTTTGATAAAATGAACAGAACTGCATTCTTTAGTCTTTATTATTTTTTCCTCCCTCCACTCTGCTCACCTTAAAAGAAAAGCACACTCATTCTCAGCGTTGTCGCTGTAATGAATGCAAAGACTTACTGGGGAAGGGCTTCTTGACTCTAGTCAAGAACATGGCAGCATGGAGCAGATCAGGATTGCCATGAAGAAACTTAGAAAGGAGCCACCAAACCATCATGCTCTAGTGTGAAGAGGAGGTGTATTGCTTCTTCAGTGGTATCTCCTTCTACTCACTTGTGAGTATTTTGGAGATATGTATTCATTTTCTAGGATTTCTTCAAATACAGCGGTGCTGTCAGAGTAGCTTCCTGCCACACTGGCTTTTGTGATCTTGATCCCTGGAACACAACCAGAGGCTTTTGGTAGGAATGTCTATTAAATGCCATGCAGTACACTATGTTTTTAGATGTGCCTGTAAAATCAAGAATTAGCTGAGGGATAATTATCTTTTGTTAGTATTAGTAACCCCTTTTTAGATTCAAGTAGAGCATAAAAGTTTTCCAAGTGAGATGGTATTTTGAAAAAATTGAATTTAGGTCCGTGCCTTTTATATCTGGACCAGGTTTCTTAAGGAAGCACAGAATAGAAGGGAATGAAAGGGAAAGGGAGGGTAGTGCCCAAGAGAGGCTTCGGCTCCTGGGTGCTCCTCCGACAGGTTTCCTCCTGTGCCTACTCACTGGCATCATTCGAGAAGCCCCATCCCACACCCCCTGCGGGGCCCATGGGCTACCTCTTGCTGAATTGCTGCAGGGGGCCTGCTGTGTGACAGCTATGGAATGAGGTAATCTTTTCCCACCTCTAATTTCTGAGGGGTGTGTCTGTCCAGTTATTACTTGTTCATTGAACTTAAAGCTTTAGAAACCAACAGCTACAGTACAAGCTGTAATTATTGATGTCTGTTTCATACTCATCTGTAAGTTCTGGCATTTGATCAAGAAGTTAATATATCACTTCATCTTTAGGCTGAATGTAGCTTAGCTATAAATGATTTATTGTTTGATGGATAGTAGACAGTTATGACTGCCCGGAATAAAAAGTGTTTTCATTTGTATTGTGGATGATACTAGAAGAAGTAATTATGACTATCATAAGGAATAGTGAAATGATGAAGTCTTGCGTTTCTTTGAGTTCCTCCCTACATAATATCTGAGAAACGTTTACTGAACACCTACTGTGTGTCAGACAGTAAGCTCACTCTTGTGGATGCAGAGACGAATAAGCACTGTCTGATGGGAGATATATATATGTAAACCATGTTTTGGGCAACTTGATTTTTTGGACTATTAGAAAATCGGTGACTAAATACAAAGAAATAATCTACATGTAATAAATAACCTAGACTTAAAAATTTTAGTTACATGGGTCTACCGTTCTCTCCAGGATGCTGTTTCCTAGCTGGGCAGCTAGTTCACTTGCTCACTAGCTCAGTGACTGATCCACGCATGCTGACCTCTTAGGGAGTGGCATTGACACCCTGACCTTCATCGCATTTCTTGGGCTCACTGCAGAGGTGAGGGTCATTGATAATGTAAGACTCGGGAATGAATGCAGCTGTTTTGCACAATATTCAGTGATTTTAAGCTTACAGTTTTTCTCAGACTGTCAGCACGTCCTTTCTGTTGGAATGTCACAGTGCCTGCCCGTGTTAGGGTAATGTTAACTACTGCAGGTAATATGCCCCCCAAACTATAATGACTCAAACACAGAGGAAGTTTATTTCTTGCTCATGGGACAAAGGAGGATGTTCCTGTCAACAGGGTGCTCTGCTTCATGCACTCATTCAGGGACCCAAGCTGACAGCAACTCTCACCTTCTTTCCCCTTAACCCTGGGTGTCACCATCTCAGTCAACCGGAAGGGAAGAAAGCATGGAAGAACAATCATGGACAGTTCTGGGCTTGGCCTGGAAGTGGAACACATTACTTCTGCTCACTTTGTCCACTTCACTAACTGCAAGGGAGGGTGGAGAATGTAGACTGGCTGTTTCCCAGGAAGAAGAGGAAATAAATTTTAGTAACCAGCTAGCAGTGCCTGCCACATTGCCTCAGTCACACGTGACCTTGACCTGAAGTAGTAACTAAGCA